ATGCCAGGGTTGCAAAGTAAAACTGATATGCACAAACAGGTACAAGATACATAGAGAAAACAAAAAAGCAAGTGAATGAAGAGTGTGTTCCATTAACACCAGGGTAGGGAGGAATTCGCATGTTGTAGTACAATTAGCCTGAACTGAGGGTAGGAGTCAGCAGTCCTAGGATTTTGTCACAACTCTGCCACTAGCTGTGTGACATTGATCGTCGTCTCTAGGCCTCAGTTTTATGTAAAAGGTGGAGGTTGAAGTTAGTTGTCTTGAAGGTGCCTTCCAGCTCTAAAAAAAACACTATAATTTTCCAGTGAATGTCTCCTGTTTTCAGCCCCACTAAAATGTAGTTAAGAGAGGATTGGGACAGATGGAGAATAACTGGGATTTACAGGCTGTGTTAGGATGGAACTGAGGAAAATAGTGATCTGTAATTTGACAAGACTTATTAAGAGAGCTGGGATTCTTAGGGTTTTTGAAATGAAGAGGAGAAAGTTGAAATAAGGGAGGTAAGATAGAATTTTTTATATAAACTCTGCAAAACAACTTTCCTGCATATGGATTATTTTAATTGAGAACTCACCTGCAGGAAATCTTCTGTTTTAGACTTGATTTACCTTGGGACAGCGATCTTCCTGTACCCCTAAAGAATTTGCTACTGTTAAGCAAAAGCCTTTGGTATCCATCCTGCATCAGAACCTCTTCTCAGCCAGGTGGTCAGGCTTCTGGAAGATGCCTGAATGGTCTTACTCCAATTCAGCATAGATGTACTCATTCATTATGTTATGGTACTAAACACTGGAGACAGCAAAGTGAAATAGTTCCTGACTTGGAAGAGCTTACACTCTGCTGGTTTCTTCACAATGGAGAACAGAATTACATGCCCATGGCAGCTAAGTAGATTGATTGTTTTTGTTTTTTAATTGTTAGTGTCAATGTTTTCTTGCACTAAAACTGGTATTTGAGAACTGATGAATCACTCCAGTAAAACTGTTGGTGAAATGGACTTTTCTTTGTTTATTTATTAAATACCCTGAATTTCGGAACTTAATTATTTTCTTCAAAAAAAAAAATAAAATTAACTGTTTTGATATTTTGTTTTAGTCATGTTTTTTAAATTAAGAAATGTGGAAAGTATGAATTTTCTAGAGTTCCCATACCCCCTTTCTAACTTTAAAGTTTGGAAGTTCTGCAAATGTAACAAAACGCCATATAAAAATAAGTGATTTTATTCTAGGTTATTAAAGAGTGGTTGCATGCTTTCAGTGAATTAAAACAACATTCTACACATAGGATTTTTTTTTTCCTAGTAGAGAAAAACATCTTTTAAAAATAATCCATTTTGTTTTTAGAACACCTATTTGCCTCGAGAGAATTTGGTCACAAAAGTCTCAAATCTTTATACATTTACTGAGAGTTTTTAATTTTGGGCTATTTTATGAAACTCTTACAAAGCCTCTGACAGTCTTTGAACTGTAATAATCTCTATTGACTGAACCAACACCCTTAGAAGTCTACAACAGCCACAGATCTGGAAATAAAGTTATGACTTTGAAAAGGGAAAAGAGATGAGATGAAAGAAGAGTGGAGAACAGAAACAGGGCTGCTAGGCATTAAATGAGATGATTTGAACTACAACAAATGTTTATTAAGCACCTGTTAAGTACAATGAATGCACTTTGTACCTGAGGAAACAACACCAAGATATAGTTTTTGCCTTCACTTGAGTTGACTTTTTTCTCTTCTTGTTTTAGACCAAATATTTATTGTCTGTTTACAATTGAAGGACATGATCATTTTCAGTTAGGTGACAGTGAAAACCAAGATGTAACTTTTTCCCATCCAAATTTATGGATCTCTTGGTGGTCTGTGGGCCCCAGATTAAGGGCACTTATGATTTAATCAGTGTAGGGAATGCCTTCTGTGGAGGTGCCATTTACTGATGCAGATAAGTGGATTGTCTGCAACGTGGAGTCTGAGTTGTCGGAGACACTGAGACTGAATCACGGTCTTGCAGCTAGCATGGGTCAGAGGTGGAACTTGAATCCTCTTCTTTCTTGAGCTGCTGCTCTATCCACTACACCAGTAGATTCAAACTCAGAATAGAAACAGATCCCTGTGGCTGCACAGGGGCTTGGAAAACTACTAATTACTGTTATGTTGTATTTTTGTCAGACTTCCCAATTACATTGTGAGCTGGTTGGGGCAGTGTCTGACACCTGCACCGCTTGATGCTGCCTCACTCTAGTGGTAGAAATAAAACAAGTAATTATAAATTTGAATATTGTAGACGTTCAGTAAAGCATAATAGTGTGCTTTGAATAAAAATACACGAAAGAATTTCTGGCAGGAGGTTGCCAGTCAAAGGAAACCATGGAGGAATGGATATTTGAACTGGACCTTAAAAGGTAACATTTCAACAGATGGAGAGAGAATGTATGTGAAAATCCTTGGTAAACTGAAGAGCTGAGATTATTTCTCCTTTCATTGCCTCTTTTGCTTGTTCACCAGAATACTGCAGATAGAGTTAGGAAGTATCATGAGGCACTGAGTATAGTGTAGCAAAAGACAAGATGATGCCAGGTAACTACATCTTCTATATTATGTATGCTATACAATGCAGTCAGTGTTGCATATTGTACAGGTAAAGGGAACAAAGCAGCTGGGTCTGTGAGGCAGTTATTTGGCTTTGCTCAGGCCCTTACTGGAGATATCTCAGTGTGTTTGGGGAAACAAGTAGATTGCTAGGGAGAGATTCATAGCGTAATTCAAATGTTGAGAAATAAGTATGAAAAGGTTTTCACTTGTATGAGGGTCATTATATAGACTTAGTCGTTGCAGAAAAATTTATTAGGAAAAATGCATGCTAAATATTGTTTAACACTACAGCAAACTACTGTGGGAAGCTTGTTTTCCTGTAATGTTTTAAAACAGGAGATATCGCCACTCTAGACCAGTGTAGGTACCTCACGAGACCCTGATGATCTCACTCATCTCCATCTTTCCACTCAGTGCCACCACCTTGGTTCTGGGCCTTATCTTCTCAGACTGCTACAGTAGCCTCCTAACTGGTCTCAAGCCTCCCCTTTCCAAAGCATCCTCCATATTGCTGCCAAAGTGATTTTTCTAAGTGGATGTCTTGACATCCACTTGACAATTCATCTAAAGTCAAATGTAATGCTTTCTATTTATCTTTCAGCCCTTCACAACCTGGCTCCAGCCTTATACCTTCACTTAGTCTACCACCTAAACTAGGCTTACTGTTCCTGCCATCTTCTTGCCTTCCCTAGCTCATGGCATTTGCCTCCCCATAAATGACTATACACAGACTCATAGGATCAATGATTTAGAACGGGGAGGGACTTCAGGCAATATAGTGCATCTAATCCAACACCAAATAAACTGAAACGATTTGCCCAAGGTCAGGTAATAAGTGTTGGGTAAGATGTTGAGCCCTGGTCCTCTGACTTCAGGGCCAGTTACACCAAGGTTGGCTCTATGTTGCCCATCTTGGTCTGTGAGGGCAGGAGCTATTTCTTTTTTGTTTTTTCTCCTTAGTGCTCTGCACAGTGGCTGTCACACATTAAGCACTTAAAACTTGCTTGATTCATCTGTTGCAAAGAAGTAACAGTTCAGAGGAATTTAATTTCTTTATTTCACACTACATCATATTCATTTAATTCTTTTCCCTTCCCATCCCAACATATTTTTTCTATTGGAACATCTGTACACATAAATCACAGGTACAACAATTTTTTTTTTAAAGAAGGTAATCTCTTGCCTTTGTGTAGTGTAGGGGATCTTCAAATTTAAGTGAACCCCAGAAACCTTTACACATCTCCAGATATTTGGCAGCCAGTATCTAGACGGGCATTTTGGCCCTGTCATTGCCTCCTCCCTTCCAACTTATAAAGTGAGAAACAAAATTTTATTCTATTGCAGCTAATTGAAGTTAAAACTGAAGGCCTTTGCATCTTGTCTGTAACATTGGTGTAGATCTGAGACATCATGAAAGGCTTTAAGTAGAAAAAAAGAAATTAGAAGATCTGGGGCACAGACTTCTACTCATCTGATGTTGGAACCCGTTTGACCCCCATTTCCCTGTTTAGGAGCCTGTCTGAGGAGCCCAGCAAGATCCTAAACCCCAACTTGTACAGTTCTGTTTGACACAGGGAGACAAGCCGAAGCTTTTCCCAGGCTCCCATGTACTTCTTTGGTGGGGGCAATACTCCAGGACAGAAACGTCAAACATGGGACCCCCACCCCGATTGCCTCAGAACCAGATTAAATATAATTGGGAAATATTTAACTAAATAAAACAAACTATGATAAAACAAATACAACATTACATTTAAAAATTATGTCAATATGCAGCCCGCAGGGATCCTTATTGTATTGACTGATGGCCCCTTTTCTATTTGAGTTTGACACCACTGCTCTAGGATGTCTGAGATAAGAGAGGAGGGAGAAAGGGGTAGTTTAGCACACAGTCAAGGGAGGAGTACATTTTTAATCTCTGGAGAGCCAGATCTTTCAGTAGCCTGAAGGTAGCTAGACCTGGAAGGGACCTTAGAAGTCATCAAATCAAAATTCATTTTACAGATGAGGAAAATGAGGCCCAGAGAGGTGAAGTTAGTTTCTCCAGGGTCATATAGTTAATGAGTAGGGCAGGATTTGAATCTAGGTGTTCGTGACTCCAAGTCTAGCAGTTAGAAACCAAGGGCCAATCAACTTTGCTGCTGCTACTAATCTTTATTAGTAAAACCCTTTCACTCAATAGTGAAAAAATAAATTTCAGTGGTCCAGGTTAGGTTGTTACAGATTCAGATTTAGTAAGATTGCACCATATAGGAACAACTATACTTTGAAAACTGAAATGATTGGGGTGGGGTAGGGGGCTGATAGGGAAGAAGAGGGCTCATGATTCACATTAGAAAAGGATTTTGCTTAAAAAATGTTAAGAATATTCAGAGCAAGGTCAGTTGGCATTAACCATAGCAGGAAAATGTATAAAAACTAAGCATTTTATTAAAATATAGTTATCTTCAATGGTGAGTTGCCAGCTTCTAAATAATAGAATTCTTGTCCAATTTTGATTGTCATAACCCCTCCTCACCCCCTTTTTGGGGGACTGATCACATCTCTAGGAGAAGGTTTGCTGTGAACTCAAGTGTTTTGTTCATCCTACTTCTGGGTCCACCGATAGACACATGCATGAAGAACAATGACATCTCTTTAATGAGTAGAACAACCCCAACCAACCCAGAAGTGAACAGTGATTTCTTAGAAAGCTGACCCCATGCTTTAGGGTACATCCACACTCCCTGTGGGAGGAAGTGAGTGGTGACAGGTCATAACAATCACTCAATAATACATGCCTGCTACGTACAGTCTAGACTATATCATAACATTCTGATCTTTTTTTCCTTTACATTAAAAGTTTAATCAAGAAGTGATTGTCAGGGTTTGAGAAAAGATACCCAGGATATCTCAGCCATCTGAGTTTAGTGCTCTTTTTTCCCAGCCTCAGTTTCTTAGCAACCTTGTTTGCTGGGTGGCTTTGCTTTCTTTCTTCTGCTGAAAATGGATCAATAGAAGAGAACTTGTAGTTGAATGACTGAAAATTCTCATTCTCTAACTGCTTCTTACAGTCTAGTTTGGAGTCTTATGGCAATGGTGTGATAACATCTCAACCTCACTGTATACTAACAGCATTATCTTGAGACACAATAGACAACACAGTCTTCAAGATCTCCTTCTGAAGGGATGGTGCCCTCTGTGCCAGCTGCCTCAGTCCATGGTGCATGAGCTGTGATCCAAGAGCGGCCTTGAGAATGTTTCTCAGGTCTCTAAAAAAAGTAGGGAATTGGGGACATCTGAGGCAACTATGCTAATCTCATTTCTCTTCTTGCTTCCTATGAAACTTTAACAGCATATTTCAGTCTAGTGGAATCTTTGGTGTTGTTCTGACTGTCGATGAGAACCAGAGGCATATGTTGGTGATTCTTTATTATATCAGCCACACTATTAAAGTGCTGGAGGAAGACAAGAGAGGCACATTAAAGCAAGACTTTAATTCCGTGTAAAAGCCCAGACCAAGCCCTATCTCTTCTACACCAACTTCTACAAGTCAGTGAACTCTTGTTCCAACACAAGTACCATCCTTATGAATTTCTTCCAAAAGGATCACTTGCCCATGAGCTGGGGGGACTTGAATTTTAGTTTCAACTCTTCAACTGTCTTATTGTGTGACTTTTGAGAATTCACTTTACCTCTCTAGACCTAGGCCTTGGCTTCTTCACTTGTGAAATGATGTGGTTGGAATAGGTGACCATTAAGGTCCCTTCCGTAGTTCTAACATTCTTTGGTTCTATGATTTCTACTTAATATTTCATTGAATTAGACCCCCAAGTGTCCTAGAGGGTAGGGAACAATAAATACCTCTACTCTACTTGCAGATTAGATAGGCTGGAGAAGGAAGCCATCTTCCTAGCATAGTGCCCTACTGAGGACTCGTTCATTCATTGAGTCAGTTGGCTAGCATTTAAGTGCCTTTTATGTGCCAGACACTGAAGAGCTTTGGAGATACAAAAAAGAAGCAAGAACAGCCCTCTCAAGGATCTCATAGTCTAATGGGGGAGACAATATACAAATAACTATATTCAAACAAGACCTATACAGGATAAATTGGGTTTAATGTCAGAGAGAAGACACTAGCATTAAGGGGAATTGGGAAAAGGCCTTTTGAAGAAGAGGGGATTTTAGCTGAGACATGAAGGAAGCCACGGAAGCCCGGAAGGATAGATGAGCAGGAAGATCATTCCAAGCACAGGGGGCAGCTAGTGAAAATGCTCAATGTCTGGAGATGGCACGATGTGTGGGAGGCACAGCGAGTGTCGCAGTCCATATATGATGCTGCTGTTATTGAAGAGCCTTAAAGAAGGTTCCCAAGTAAGAGACAGGTCTTCAAAGTCAGACTGGAGAGAGACTCAGGGCTTGTCTTCCAGAAATGTTTACAACTCCTGACTGATTTACATAGCCTTCGGTTAGTTAGCTTGGAATCAATTAAAAAAAAATAAAAAGAAAGTAGTAAACCCATTTCACCCTTTGATTTCTACCTATTTACTTACTGAGTTTGAAGCTAAAGCTGGAGGACATTGGAAGCCCCTGGTCATTCTTCTAGCTAGTATGAAAAAAGCCATTAAGAAGCAACTGTGAGAGAGAGAGAGAGAGAGAGAGAGAGAGAGAGGAAGGGAAAGAAAATATAAAGAGGAACATGGTACACATGGGCTCTCTGAAAGCTTAGACAGACAGAAATAATAACTGAGATAATAACCTGTGATCTTCCTGGAGATCATGGGCTTAAGAAATAGGATTTTTTTTTAACCTTGCTGTAACTTGCTATGTTATAAAAGTATTTCCTTCCCAAAGTTACGTACATTTCAACAATAAAGAGTTGATTGGTTTACCAGAAATGAGTTTTTTTCTGAGTTTCTTAAAGATCCACCAAGACCTACAAAAGTTTCAAAATGCTTTTTGTTTAGAAAGCTACTAGACAAAAAATGAGAGCCTGAAGGAGTCAGAATGAGTCAGATCTAGCAGTCTGAACACTCGAGACCTCTAGGACCATGGACACTTGAATGGGGATATTTAGACTGGATCAGAAAAGACTTAGGGGCTCAGATTCTTAAAATCTAGCCACTGCTCACTAATGTTCAGACTCCTTAAGAGTCTGGCCAATATGGCGGATGTTCTAATAAACCTTGTCTTTGGCTGGAAAAAAAAAAAAAAGACTTGGAAACCTGATAGTCAAGTTGCTTTCAAGACTGTCATGTGGAAAAGGGGTTAGACTTAATTCTACTTGTACTCAGATGATAGAGCTAGGAGCAAGGGGCAGAAATTGCAATGAAGCAGATATAGGTCCTTTAAGAAAAGCTTCCTAATGATTGGTGCTGTCTCAAATTGGAATGAGTACTGCCTCAAGGAATAGTGGGTGGCCCCTCAGGAGTAGGTTGGATGTCGAGCTGTTGGGGATATTGTAGAATGGCTCTTGTTCTGCTGTGGGGTGGGCTAGATGGCCTCTCAGGACCATGTCCACTCTGAGATTCTGTGATTCATTTCTGCGGGCCTCTTTTAAATGAAGTGAACAATGGGGAATAGAGTCAATGGTCACTAAACTCTTTCTAGATCTAACATTTCAAGGGCATTTATGACATCTAGTGGTCAACCTAAGTAAATGCTGTAGAAGCAGAGATGAGCTCACAAGGCCATCTCCTGGCCAAACTGGAAATGCCCTTGGAGTGAACTGAGATAGTCACCCTACTGGTGAAAGTCTGATGAACTGCAAAATTACTTCTATAATTTCTATGGTGAAATTTTGAAGGAATTACATTATATCACATGGAGACATACTAGCTGCCTTCATTTGTTTGAAGTCTGGTCACACAGAGGGGAAGGCTTATTTATTGGGAGTGTTGCTCCACAGGGCAACACTGGAACCAGTGGATAGAAGTTGCTTGAAGGAAGCTTTCAGCTGAACATATGGAAAAAACATTCCATTACTTAGGGTTACCTAGCAGGAAATGGGCTGCCTTGAAAAGTAGCAAGCCCCTGGTTCCTGGTAGTGTCTCAGCAGAAAGGACAAATGACCACAACTTTATGTCTATATACATTTTACCTATCCTCCACCCTCCAAATCAAGTTCTGGATCTTCCATGTACTTTTTTCTTATTGTTCCAACTCAGTGGTCACCTTTCAGAGAGACAGCAAACTAACTAAGCAAGTAAGAATTAAGTTTTAACACTTGTCCAGACTGAGAAGGAGTTAAGACAGGTTTGACCTTGTGTTTAGGGCCCCCAGCTGTTCCCTTCCTCACATTTCCATTCCTGATTCCAGCCTGGTAAACTGACCTTCAATACTTTTGCATAGGCTCTGAGCACTTGAGCTCTGTGTTTCCAACCCTGTCCTGGTAATCCAATTTCTAGTCTTGCCTTGCTAATTAACTTGAATTCTGTGTTTCTGGTCCAGGATTATGATCTTGACTTGGATAAACTTCATCATTGCCGTTATCTTCACCTTTATGTCTCTTGTTCCTGACTGCCCATAGGATCTGTAGCACAAGAATATTGTCCTGTATGTTCTTTAATTATGTCGTATATAAGTCGCTTCCAGAATAAGACTAAATCTCCTGAGGTCTGGGCAGGACTGAGCAGTGCCCATGTTTGATACTTCCTTTATATATCCTAGGGCACCTTACACAGTGGCTAAAACTGTGGCACAATTGAGTTGAACTGAAAGAATTACTCACCTCTTCACCATTTTTCTTACTGCCCAAAGCATATTGTTTTGTTGATTCAATATACCGCACAGGGATGTTATAAACCCTTCTGTTATAGAATACAACTAATGTATATGGCTGCTTGGAGTTGTGACCAGAACTTTTCCTTATAAGAAATGATCCATCCTAGTCATAGAAGAAAAAAAAAAACCCACACATTATGGTTAGTATTGCTATTACTTGCTACAAATGGGAAACCACCTTTAAGGATAACTAAAGAAAGGTATTATTGGCCTTTGAATGCCTTTTCATTGGAAAGGGCACTGGACTTCTCGGAAAACTTGGTTTCCAATCTTGGCTCTTTCAGTTAGGGTCACAAATTTTGGAGCTGAAAGGGACTTTGGAATTCTAGTCCAACTTCTTCATTTTACAAATAAGGAAACTGAAGCCCAGAGGGGTGGTATAGCTGCCAATATCACATGGTTAGTAAGTGTCCAAGATAGAAAGTGAATCTAGGTCCTTCAATTCCAAGTCCAGTGTGCTTTCTGCTGCTGGCTACGTGACCTGGGGCTAGTCATTTAACCTCTGTTTCCTTATCTTAAACTGGGGATGCTGCTACTTCCACCTTGGTCCTATGAAATCAGGTGTGTGGAAGTTATTTGTAAACTACAAAATACTACTGAAATGTGAAAAATTATAAGAATTTATGGTCTACCATTTTCAACAACATTCCAGTGTGGTATAATGGACAGAGAGTTGGTCTTAATTCAGGAGGACTTGCTTGGGTTAAAGCCTCACTTTTGGTACATACCGTCTATGTGACCCTGCTCAAACAGGATTTAATCTCTCAGTGCCCTGGGCAACCCTGTAGAACTATAAGGTGCAGAGTACGTGCCAGCCTTCATTGGTAGAGGGTGTTTCCTCATCTGGGAATACTACTAATGAAGTACAAATACCAATACTAATGAAATCACAGATCTCTCCATTTGGTATCAGTCGAATACAAAATGAAACCAAAAGGGCATAGAGTCATACATCAAATGATCACACGCACACACACACATATTACTGCTTTTCAAACCTTAAAGCGCTAATGAAACGTGAACTACTGTTGTCATTATAGCTAAAGAGAATTTAGAGGTCATCTGGTCAAACTCCCTCAGTTTACAGAGGAGGAGACTAAGATCTAGAAAGAAGGAATGACTTTTCCAAGGTTATTCAGGTAGTAAAGTTCTGAAGGTAGGTTTTACTCTAGGACTTCTGGTTCCATCTTTCATTATCTTTCCATTGTACCATAAACTGATTATAAACTGATGAAAGTAAACAGAACAGTTTGGTTATAGGAATAGTAAATACGCATGAAAGAACACATTAATATTGTCTCTAGACCTTTCAAAAAAGATATCCTAATTTTAATTTCCCATAACATCAAGTCAATATAATTTATTTTAAAAATTTTTTTATAAAAACCAGCCAGGCATTACATTGCCTCAGAATAATTTCCAATCTCTTTTTTACAAAGAGTAAAACCTTGAAACCTTGGGGTAAGGGCAGGCCAGATGGATATCTCTCCTGTGTTCTTTCTCATTCTTTCCACCATTTCTCCTAGGAATCTTCATTACCAGGAAGGGGAAGAAGACCTTTCAGAAGTCAAGATGTAGAGTTCGCGCCAACTGGATGTTGGAGAAACTGCTACCATCTACCTCTGATCTACAGAAGTCTCTTCTCCCTCCTCTTCCTTTCTCAGGGTCTAGAAACAGCACAGAATGATGCTCTGAGGATGAGGCATTCTGGTTCATAGGTAAATCCTGAAGAAACTTCTGACCGTACATATGTCACTTAAATGGGATGCAGTGAAATATGAGGCAACAGAATATTAGAGGGTATATGAGACCGGAGGAAACAATTGCTATCTGGTATCAGCACCCATCTGTTACCAGGAATGGTATCCCCAGCACTTAGCATAGTGCCTGAAACATGTTGTTGTTCAGTCATGCCCAACTCTTCATGACCCCATTTGGATTTTTCTTGACAAAGATACTAGAGTGGTTTGCCATTTCCTTCTCCAGCCCATTTTACAGATAAGGAAAGTGAAGCAAACAGAGTTAAGTGACTTGCCCAGGGGTTACACAGCTAATAAGTGTCTGAGGCTGGATTTGAGCTCAGGCCTGCCACTATGCATTATGGCGCCACCTAGCTGCCCCACTAGTAAGTGCTTAATAAATGCTTGTTGACTCCAAGTAACCTATATTCCAGGCAAATCATACTACACGTGGTTGTTCCAAATGCTTTACATCTTCCCCCTCTGTGGCTTTGTTCCTGCTGTCCCTTTTACCTGCTTCTAGCCATTAGAATCCATCTCATTGTTGAAGGCCCACTTCCAACGTTGCCTCTTCCTTCAACACTTTGCAAGTTCCCCAGTAGGACGTGATTTCTCACTCCTCTGATCTCCCATGTATTCAGTACCTCTCATGTCCCTTGCCTCGTCTTGTCTGAAGGTAACCATGCCTCCAGATGCTCACAGAGAGGTGGGAAGGAGGTGAAGGATACTTGGAAGAGCAAAGCTGACGGAAGGACAGAGGGAGAGACGTGAGGGATGGAGAACAGCCCCATGTCAGATGTGTAAACGGAAGGAGCTGAGATGTTTACCTTGCTGGTGAAAGTTATTATTCTGAGGGGAGAAGGGGGAAAGGCATTCTCACAATACAGAAGCAGGTAGAATAATAACTGACTACACAGGGCTTTAAAGTTTGCAGATCTCATCATGTGTTTCTCATTTGAGTTAGGTACTCCATTTTACATGTGAGGAAATGGAACTTGTAAAGTAACTTGTCAGTGGTCATGCAGCTGGTAAGCATTGGAATTGGGCCAGGTGAGAGACACAGACAGAAGCATGGAGAAGTCCAAAGTCACTGGCCCATGTAGCTGACAGGTAGAATGGTCATGCCATCAGCAGAAATAAAAGAAATTATGGTGAGCAGCACGTTCTGGGAGGCGCTTCCTTGTTTTGAGAATGTTGAGTAGATCTAAGTGCTCTATCCACTGCACCACCTAGCTGCCCCAACATGAAGTTTTTCTAGAGAAGCAGTGGGGTGTGGGAGAAGGAGCACTGGCCCTGGAGTGAGGAGGCCTGAGTCTGGCACCTACCTCTATCCCTGACCCGCTGTGGCCTTGAATAAGTCACTTAAAGAAATTAAGCCAAAGTCTCCCCACCACAACAAGAAGCATGTGTTGAGCTCTTGTTCTATGCCAGGCACTGGGCTAAATGCTGGGGATACAAAGAAAGGTAGAAATGGCCCCTGCCCTCAAAGAAGTCACAGTCTAATGTGGGAGATAAAATGCAAACAACTATGTACTACACACACACACACACACACACACACACACACACACACACACACAATTTGGAGGCAGTCTTAGAGGGAAAACAGTAACATTAAGGAGCCGTAGGAAAGGTGAGATTTTAGCTGGGATTTGAGGGAAACCCAGAGGTGGAGACAAGGAAGGACGGTATTCCAAAGATAGCGCACAGTCAATCAAAATGCACAGTGTTACATAAAAAGAAATGGCAATGGTAGGCTATGCACAGATTTTGGAATTAAGAAACACACCTTGTTGGATTTGTATAATGCAGCCTCTGCTGACTTTCGGTCACAGGAACCAGCGTACCATGGTCTGCAGTGAACCTCAGCTTCCTGCAAAACCAAGAACACATTAAAAATGCTAATGCAAAGGAGAGACTGAGAACCCTATCTTTTAGATGCACAAGAAGAGACCTTGGAAAGAATGCAGTATTGGCACATCCCTCAGTTCATATCCCAGCTCTGCCATTGAGTACCTATATGTGACCTTGGAAAAGGCTCTCAACCTCTCTGGGCCTGGAAACCACTCAGTTTTTGCATCTGTAAAGTAAGGGAATTAGACTAGATGACCTCTCTAGATTTATGACCCTAGGAACCTAGAAACTGTGTGTGTATATTTAGATTGCAAGGCAGGAATAGAGAACTTATGGAAGGAAAAAAAAAGGCACAGCAGAAGGTGGTGTTGGACCCTTCCCTACCCTGGTATCTGTGAGAAACCCAAGGAAAGGACATGCTTCCTGTTTGTTAGACAAATGGGAATCACCACTTATCACCTTTGGGACCTCAAAAATGCCCACAGTCAACTGCAAAAGGACACATCCACCATTGGGCTTATCTCCTTCCATGGCTTCATGTATCACCTCTATGCAATCAGCTTCCAGATCTCTGTATTTCTCACATCTCTGCCTAGAGCTCTCATCCCATATTTCCAAATGCTTGTTGGATGAGTACCGTCTAGATTTCCCACTATGACCTCCAACTCAACTGAATCCTGTCTCTAAACGTGCCCCTCTCCATAACTATATTTCTGCTAACGGTACAATCATTCTCCCTGTATGTCGCCTAGACTGAGAACTTTGAACTCAACTTTCACTCCTCATCCAATCTTGCCCATCCCCTCTCCCAATATCATCAGGTCCTAAGTCTGTTTTGATAAGTCATATCTCCCTTCCTTTCCATTCCTATTGCAACTGCCTTAGTTCAGACTCTCTTTATCTCATGCCCAGGCTCCTGTAATCATCACCTAGTTGGGCTTTCTGCTTCCTGCCTACTTAGTCCTCTTCCATCTACCTTCATATTGGTGCCCAAGGGAGCCTCTTACACAGGCCTGTGCAGAGAAGAGACCCATGGACTTGGAATTAGGATATCAGAGATGGAAGTCATTCTATCACTGTGTTACCTTGGGCAACCTGATACAGTCTTAATCATTTCATCCATAAAACTGGGTCCACGATGCTTGCACTGCCTACCTTACAGTCATTGTAGGGAAAGTACTCTGTAACCCATAAGCGTTTTGGTTTTTTTTTTTAGTTGACAGAAGTCATTAATGGTAGGAATCACAAGAGAATACACTTTGATCACATCATTCTTCTACCCAAAAATCTTTACTTTTTTTTTCCTTTTTTAACATTACTTTGAATAAAATATAACCTCTTATTTCTGTGTTTGAGGTGCTGGACAAGCTGGCTTCTCAAGTCATATATTCATACTTTGTTGCTGTTGTTCAATTATTGAGTCGTGTCCAACTCTTCATGACCCCACGGACCAAGCTGTCTGTGGGGTTTTCTTGACAAAAAATTCTGGAGTGATTTGTCATTTCCTTCTCCGATGGATTAAGGCAAACAGAAGTTAAGTGACTTGGCCAAGGTAACAAAGCTAGTGAGTGTCTTGAGGCTGAATGTTAGCTCAGGTCTTCCTCATCCTAGCCTGCATGCCCTGCAGCTAAACTAGACCCCTCCCCTCTTGCCTTGCCTTCATCCTGCGTTCTCTGCTTCTGCTGGGCTGAGCTTTAGCTTTGCCACCTGTTGACGTCTTTCCTTCAAGGCCTCACTCAGTGTCACCTCTTCTATGGAGCCTTCTCTGACCTTCCCAATGAGCGTCATCCCAGATTTCGAGCAACACTTTGGATATCTTCTCTGCACTTATCTCAGTTTTTCAGCTGTCAAGTCGTGTGTGTCTCTGTGTGTGCATGTGTATGCACGCCCACATGTATGTATGCATACGCACAACATATCCATAGGACACATGCATGCATATCATACGTGTGTCTGTGTACTTCACACATACACCTGTGCTTGTATATTTACATGTGTGTATTGCATATATACATTCATGTGTGCATGTGGGTAGATATGTGTGTATACGTATACACACACACACACACACACACACACACACACACACACACATATATTTGTTTTCACCTCTAGTGAAATATAAGCTTCTTGAACACAGAAATTGTTTCATTTATGTACTTGTATAATGTGGTGCCTGGCACATGATAGGTATTTGATGAATGCTTCCCGATCATTTTATTCCCATGTCAGAGTTATTTTGTGTACGTGTTTTGTCCTCATTATATTGCAAGCTATGTCACACCTATCTTCATATTCCTAGTGACTTGCATCTAGCAGATGGTTGGTAAATGTTTGTTAAATTGAATTAAATGGAAGAGTATATTAAATGCCCACATGTGTAACTCCATTCAAGTTCTATCTAGAAAACTCTCTTTTATGTGTTGCTGTGCTTCTCCACCAGATAAAGAGTTGATACTTACAGGAATAATTTCATACCTGATCTGACAAACAGGAATTGGCTGGAAAGTTGGGTAATGGAATATCCATACTGGGACTTAATACCTCCGGAGGCTCTAAAAAAGGATTTGAGATCAGTCAAAAAGGGAAATATAAGACTTAGTCCGTGCTCCCAAGGAGCTTACACTGTGGTTAGGAGATTAGGCAAAAACATGACAAACAACTACAGAACTATATAAAACATTATATAAGGGAAGGTATACAGGTGAAAGGTGCAAGAGATGTTTGAAGGAGGCAGAAACCAGTTGGGATCTGAGTGGTCAGAAAGGGCTTCATGGAAGAGGTGAGATTTGTAGGAGCTGAGGAGGTACATGCGATGGATTGGACATTCTAGGCTGGGACAGAAGCATAAGCAAAGAGAGGCAGGGATTAGCCTGAATTGTGTCACAATTCTGTCACCTCATGAAGTCTGTTCAGTTTTAGAACTGAACAGTTATTTGGAAGGAAGAGAAAAGCAAAGAAGTTAGTTCTAAAATATTTGATTTGCAATTGTTGACGCTAATAGTAGCAGACAAGTGAACAGAATGGATAAGAATCCTTCCTCACTTAAAAAAAACAAAACAAAACAAAACGAAAAAAAACCTAAAACAGTGTTATTGGTATCCCCCAGCCCCAAACAGGATTTGAATAGACTTTGAAACATACAGTAAAATTTAGGTCAATCCATCCTAACGTACACTGGTACCCTCATGATCTCTTTCCCACTGTACCTAGAGAGTGGTGTCCTTAATGTCAAAGATTGGGAAACAAATGAACAAAACCAGTCTTCTAATTATGGGAAGGCCTCAAAGAACATAAGGTAGTCCAGGACCATATGAATGAGATTAGGGTCAGGCTCTTTCAGAATTGAGGGTGGCCTCACTAAATATCGACTCCAAAATCATGCCTAAAAAACAGTTTCTGTTAGAACATAACAACGATCATATAGACATTTGCTTAAAGACTTCCAGTGGAGTTTTCTATTAGCTCTTGAGGCAGCTCACTTTTAGGAAGGTTTTCCTTATATCAAGCCTAAATTTGCCACCTAGTGCCCTTAATTCTTCCCCCTGGGGCCAAAAAGAACTAATTCATTTCTCTAGTTTCCTAACCTATTAAATATTACATATTATAGCATACTTTTAAAAGTTAGAATTAAGTGATAACTGAATTTGACTTAAGGTCTTCTTCAAACTTGCAATAGAAGTTGCAGCAAATTTGGAATGACCTCAAATCCTTGCCTTTATCTTTTTAATAAGTGTAATATACATTTAAATATCTTTCACAAATTCAACAATGACCAAAAGGTTTTTATTTATAATTTGATTATAAAATCTAGGATTTAACGACAATTGCATTTGGCTAACGTGATTCCCAAACTCATTAAAATCCCTCTCCCCCCCAATCTTAATATGAATGTGGGAGATGACTTTGTGTAGATATATTACAAATAATCCTTGGTTTAATGGCAAGACAGCTGTACTCAGAGGGAGGAGTCCTGGGTTCTAGTCTTGACTATGCCACTAACCCAATCTGTGATCTTGGATAAGTTACCTGACTCTTCTCCCTTCCCCCCAACTTTCCTCATTTCTAAAATGCAAGGAGCGAGGGAAGGAATACTGGACAAAACAATTCTGGAAGTCTCTTATATCTCCAACCACCTATGTTTTTATAATTTCAGTGCTCATATAATACTCATCAGTTAGTTCAGTATAATATTCCTTTTTACCCACACAAAGTATTAGATTATTCAGGCAAATTAAGGATTTGGCATTTACTCACTATGAAGCTTAAGTTAGTTTATTTAAGACTAGACTTGTCATTTCTTCTATCAATGCAGATCAGAACCCTTCCTATAAGAGAAGCTGGGGTACTGAGGTCACACAACTAGTTCATGGGACCTGAATTCAGGTCTTCTTGACTCCAAGACTAGCTCTGTAACTGCTACAAACACCTCTGCATCTCACAACCTTTGTTGTATCTCAATATTTCAAGGACTTCTGATTTTGTCATAGAGCATGTTCCTAGTTCTGAGGTAGATACCAGTCCTTCCAAGGTTTAGTAGATTTAGAAGATGACTTTCGAGGGTTGTTGTGCCCCAAAGTATACTGTCCCGGATTCAATTTGGTGATGGATATTTTCTGAGTTTGTCTAGACTGGTCCTCATATGATAGGCATACATTGAAGAACAATATTCAAAACTGTCCCAGCATAGTAGGACCTGCTTGGTCCTACTTTATTACCCTACCCTTGAAGAAGTCAAGGTTACCATCAAGCCAGGATGAGGAATTGAGGAAGGAGCCTGAGCTCTCTAGCTTCAGTACTATTTGGTTGGTTGCTTGCTTGCTTATATTTATCGAATTAACCAGAAAAATGAATGACCAAATCTCTTAATTCTGTACAATCTTATTGTAAATAAAACCGCCTTTAATTTTATTATCAGTAGCTCATTGCACTTACTTGGTGGAGGTACAGGTTTCTGTTGGATTGGTCTGAAACAAAAGAGTAGAGATTCAGTTAAGGATGAAATGGAGCATGAATCTACCTTTTTTCTTCTTCTTCTTCTTCTTTGAATGACAAAGATTTAACTCCAAAGAGTATAAATGCAGACAGAGACAGTTATCAATGAGCATGTCTGGAGTATGAGCTATGTGACCTTGGGCAAGTTACTTAAACCTTCTGGGCCTCAGTTTCTTTATCCATAAAATGAGAGGGATGGGCTAGGGGGTCTTTAAGCTGTGTTCTGGTTGAACTATTCTGTGGTTCTCTGAAATTCTCTGGTAGTTCTAAATTATCAGCAGGATCATGACTGCTTTCACTTGAAGATCATGACAGACTTCCTTGATTCTAGAGGCTTAGCAGGGAGGACTTTTTCAACATGGTGTCTCAAAAGACTATGAAATGGTTAATCTAACATCATAGTTCCACAAATTATGGACCCATCAAATGAGTCATGTCTAACTAACAACATAAATTCTTCTTATTTACCCTGGGCAAGTCTTTTAACCTCTCTAGGAATCAGAATTAATCATTTCTAAAGTTCTTATTTCCCCCTGTATATTATGATCCCAAGCAATTAAACAATGGAGATAAGACAAAGTGTTTGGCAGTCATAAAATACTATGTCAATAAAAGTGATCTTCATTACTATTATTATTTTTAATGCTCTCTGCAATCTTGTTTGCAAAATTGATTTGTTGTATAAACCTTTTCTTTCTTCATAGAGAATTTAAAGATAATTTTTCATCTAGCCCAAGTCAGATCATCATCAATTCTTCTGTGGACCTCATAGATCTCTTTGTTTTTTCAAGATGGAAGCACCTTGAACAAGTGGGACAAGCACAAGCTCTGGAATGAGGAGGTCTGGGTTCAAATTCTGCCTCTGATGCTTTCTACCTTTGTGACCTTGGACGAATCACTTAACTTCCCTGGGATTCACTTTACTCATCTGTAAAATGAGGAGATTGGATCAGATGACCTCTTGGGTCTCTTTCAGCTCTATAGCTATCACACTTATTCAGTAGTATTGTATATTATTGATGTACATTTCCCTTAGTCATCTGTTAGACTGTAGATGATGGATATGACTGTCCATGAGGGCAGGAACTAGGTATCTTCTCTCAACTTCATATCTGCTTTCCCAGGTTCTAGCACAGTGCTGTGTGTGTGTGTGTG